CTTTGTAGTTTTGATTTTGCAGGTAAGTTGTTATTTTTGTCATTAGTTTAGTTGTTTTAATTTTTTGTAATATATTATTTAATTTTCTTGTTTTGATAGGGTAGGATCGTATATTACTTTATGACTTTTCTAAGAGAAAATTTTCTTGCTTATAGTTGATGCATATTTGACATTTTTAGATGTTAATGTTATTTTTTTCTCTGTATGTTCAGTGTCATTATTAGTTACTTTGGAAAGAAACAGTCTAATCAGGTGGTCGATGAAGTAGTTAAGAAAACCATTGTTAACTAGAATTTTCAGTTGAATTATGACTTATTTAAACACCCGACTCCATCCAAAACCTGCTAGTAGAAAATATGAGCATAATAACCTAAATAAACAACACGCACACACACACACACACACATATATATATATATATATATATATATATATATATATCAAGATTTAAATTATGCAACGTTTATTTTTCAATTAGCATCATTTTGTGGTAGCAGCTAGGAAAAAATTGGCCTCTATATATATATATATATATATATATATATATATTTGAAATCGTATTTCTCTTCTTCTGTACACACGCACACACACATATGTGAGAGTGTATGTGTGTGTGTGTGTGTCTGCATGTGTGAGAATATGTGATTGAAAATATGGCTTATATCCGATTCAGTAAGAAAATAAGAAACATGTAGGGAATTGCAATATTTACAAAGTTTCGGCCGTTGTAAGTTCCGGCCATCTTCAGGTTATTGGAATATCGTTCGAACCGTTTATTTCGTCCACCCTGTTAGATTTTTAAGTCCATCAGCTACAATGGGTTCATAAAAATTTGGACAAAAAGAGTACTCATTTTGTAGGGATGTACATGGGATATAATAAATGAATCTGAATAGCTTGAATCTGGATTCCTAAACATGACTTCTCAAGAAACACAGAAGAATCTCCATATTATGCATAAAACCCTATATTTTAGTTGCCTTTGCATTCTTCTTATTGTGTAGAGATGTTACTTGTTCTCTCCGTCGAACACGTATAAATATGTATATATAATTTTGTATATGTCATGGTGGTATAAAAGTCTATCTGAGAACAAAGCATATTTGTCATTATTTTTTCTTTCAGCCATTCCGTTCTGTCCGTGAAATATGGTGTTATTATATTATAGAGAGAATAATACCCAAAATGGAAATAAAAAATGGGAGAATAAAACATTTTTCCATATATCTTTCCTGTTATAATCTTTAAGAAAAAGTTTTTTTTTTGTTTTTCTACATGGTAACAAAAGGCCAAACACATTTGCCTAGTCTTGCTCAGCGACAGATTTTTGCGTCTTTCACTTACCACGAAATGCTTTGATGGCGAAAATATTATGTAAATGAAGTCTTGATCGAAAAATGTTTTCAGCAAAATCAGCGGAATTTTACTCGAAAGTACTGAAAAGCTAAATGACAAAAGCAACAACCATTTCAAATAATGGTGCATATATAACTCATTAATAAAAGGTAATTTGCCTAATTTTATTAAGAATAAAGGTGAGAAACAAAGACGGAAATTATTTAAGGTTCACATTAACAAAATGTAGGGATCGAAATTTAGAAGATAAAATTGTAGTTGATAACAATAGAAAAAGTTATCATTGTGTTTGAGTAAAATTTATCATTATTTAAATGCAGTCCAATCTCAGGGAAAACAAACTGGAAATCTTGTAAACAAATAAAGGTAAGTGCTTAAGTTGTTAGGATCAAGATTTCCCATAGGCAATTGTTGATCATAAAAAATAAAGAAAAGTTTTTTCTTTAGTATTTCGTCAAAATGTTGTTTCGAAATGAGTTCAGTGCTGGTAAATATTCTAATATTCTTGTACACAATGTTGCATTTAAAATCACTACGATGACAAAAAAAGACCACAGTTAAAAAAAAAACAAGTTCTTATATGAATTCTCTGAAAAATAATAGTAATATTTTTGTAAGATTTGTAATTTTACGGATATATATATATTTGTATTTTTACGGATATATATATATATATATATATATATATATATATATATATATATATACGAATAAAGACAAACAGAAAACTTGTTTTAGCCGAAGCGTATACTTCTCTGAGAGACAATGTCAGGGCCAGAAAATCCCTCGTACCACGGAATGCGTCGGCTAAGATAAGCTTTCCTTCAGACTTTATTGATAAACAGATAACAGATATACTTTATCTGAAATTTTTAGCTGCACACACACACACACATATATATATATATATATATATATATATATATATGTAAGCAAATATATGGATATAAATCCGACAGTATGAAAAAAAAATACAGAAAAAACAAAATTCTCAAAA